CAGAGTCTGTAAACGCCCTAGGTGAGAATGGGGCAAGTGCTCTGACGCCGGTCCTGGAAAAGATGTTTTTGTATAACTCTCACTCACAAAAGCAGAAATAAATGGGACTGCATTTTGCATAAAACTTTTGCACAGCAAAGAAACATTAAACAAAATGCAACATCAGCCTAGGACTGGTAAAAACTATTCAAACCACATGTCTGATAAGGGATAGTATCCAGAGTGTACGGACCTCATACATCACCTGAATAAGAAGTGGGCAAAGCCTTGAATGGCCGACAGACGAGCGGGCAAGCAGCATGGCCAGTCCTCGGGGGACTGCAGTGCAGAGCTCTGAGGTTCCATCTCGTGCCGTTAGGATGGCTCTCAGCAGGTCAAAGATAAGTTGTGAGGTCAAAGAACAGGAACCTTGTGCATGTGTGCTGGGAATGCAGATTGGTATGCCCTTAGGAAGAGGATGGAGGTTTGTAATGGAACTAAACGTGGAACCAGCGTACTACCCAGCAGTCCTTTCTCCCAGAAGATGCTGCACGCGGAGGTCCATTGCAGTCACGTTCACGGTAGCCATGGCGTGGAAGAACCTGAGACGGTGTCAGTGGGTGAACAGCACAGAGCGCAGTGGGCGTCCCTCAGACATGTGCAAGCATGGACGAGCCCGGAACGAGTCTGCAGTGAATCACGTCAGAGAAGCCAAACACAAGCGAGAGCGCCTGTGTGATCTCGCCACACATGGGCTCTAACTCTTCATACAGAGGGAGGGGTGGGACAGGGATGGGGAGAGGAGGCCAGGTGCGCCATGTTAGCGTCCTACTTCACAGGATTGGACTGAGGGTGGGATTCGTGCTGAGCAGGCTGGTTTAGCAACTCTAGCCCCCAGCCCCGACACACACAGTGATTGTGAGACTACGGATGTCTCGTCTTCCATACACAGTGTGACTTCAGTGTAGCCCCTTGTTTATTATCTACGTCTATCCCAGATCATTTTGAGTGCCTTAATTATATACAGCCAAATTTAAACTGTATGAATATGGTATTTTCTTTGTGAATTGTTTGTTTTAATTTATTTACTACTTAAAAAAATTCTTAATTCATTCAGTTGAGAGGCTGGGAGACAGACAGGCAGGAGTGTCCATGGGTTCATTTCCCATATGCTGTAATAGCCCTCAGCTGGGGCAAAAACCAGGAACCAGGGACACAAACCACGTCTCCCACATGGGTGGCAGGGACCCAAGTGCTTGAGTCCTTACCTGCTGCCTCCCAGGGTCTACGGTAGCAGGACGCTGCACTGGGGACCCAGAACTGGAGTCCAGTATGGGATGCAGGCCTCCTACCCCCTAGGCCAAACGCCTGCCCTTTGTGGACTCGACACACACACGTATGCACAGGCGTCCTCTGCTTCGTCACTGTGGAGTGTTGGGTGCTGTGGTCCTTCTGAGGTTTGACTGTGAGTTGCTTGGTTCACTGGGAAATCATGTGTGGGTTTTTTTTTTTTTTTTTAATACACTACCTAAGTTTGCAGCTAGAGATGGAGGGGTCAGGGCTCTATCCCAGGTATCTTTTTTTTTTAGATTTATTTTTATTTGAAAGGAAAAAGGGGGCATAGCAGCCTGCAGTCTGAACACTGTTGGCCTGGTTCCCTGGATTTTCTTCCGGTTCCAGCACACGTCTGTAGCTTCACTTCAGCTTTCAGAATCTGTTGTTTCCTTTCTCCCTCTACGAGGTAAAACCTAGCTTGCTTAGTTCTTTCCTCTAGGAAGTCACCTGAACACGTGACTGATGGGGCAGACACAGATGCCAGCCTCTCAGCTCCCATGCTGCTCCCTGCAAGACCGCAGCAGGTGCAGCGCCGGCTGCTGTGCCCGGGAAGCCTGGACAGGGCGGGGGAATGTGGCTCCTGTGTGGGGTCCAGTGATGGGACCCTGTTGTTCATACCATTTTAAGTCATTTCCATCCTGTCCATCTGTCCTTCATTCCTTCCTAAGATCTATTTATGTATTTGAAAGGTAGAGTACTGTGAGGGAGGGAGGGAGAGAGAAACTGAGAGAGAGAGAGAGAGAGGGGGAAAGAGAGAGAGAGAGAGAGAGAGAGGCCTTCCATCCCCTGATTCACTCCTGGCCAGGTCAAGGCCAGGAGACTGGAGCTGCACTTGGGTCTCCCACGTGGGTGGTAAGGTCCTGAGCACTTGGAACATCTGCTTTGCCAGGTGCATTAGCAGGGAGTCGGATTGGAAGTGGAGTGGCTGGGATTCAAACCAGCGCTCATGGGACGCCAGTGTCACAGGCAGTGTCTTAACCTGCTGCAGCACCATGCCAGCCTCCATGTCTTTCCTTCTTGTGGTTTTCTTGTGGTAAATATGTATAGCTAAAGCATGCCACTTTAATCACTCTTTAGTATATGGATCAACGGCATGAAGTACCTTCATACTGTGTAACGTAAAAAGCCTTTTTAAACCCTTGATTTAATTTATACCGCAAATGAACGTATACATTTCTTTTAAACTATTTTGGAAATACTTGTGACTAGTCAGTCTTAATTAATAGAATAGCCCTAGGTTGTTCAGATAATTTGTCAGAATTTCACTCATAGAGCTCCTTGTGGGTGAACTCCAAGTTCCCATTATATTTCCACGCAGCGAGGTGGTGGTGATGTCAGCCTGGTGCTGATGGCTTGCTTTCTGGAGGGTGACTGCGTGAAAGCCTGTTTTGAAAAGAGACACATGGTTCTCTCTCTCTCTCTTAAACTGACTGTTTCTTCAGCTTTTCTTCTTACATATGTTTCATTTTTGTGACTCCTGGGGAGTGGGATTTTCTTGTGCTTATTAATACGGAACATTTTATTTCAGAGGAGCCTTACAACCAAATGCAGTGCTTAGGTTTTATGAGGAAGTCGCCTGTAAGAACAGTTGTACGGGGTGGCAGGGGCCAGCGCTGTGGCACAGCGGGTTAATGCTCTGGCCTGAAGCACCGGCATCCCATATGGGCACCATTTCGAGACCCAGCTGCTCCACCTCCAGTCCAGCTCTCTGCTGTGGCCTGGGAAAGCAGTAGAAGATTGCCCAAGTGCTTGGGCCCTGCACCCACATGAGAGACCTGGAGGAAGCTCCTGGCTCCTGGCTTCGGATGGGCGCAGCTCCGGCTGTTGCGGCCAATTGGGGAGTGAACCAGTGGATGGAAGATCTGTCTCTCTCTCTCTCTCTCTCTGCCTCTCCTCTCTGTAACTCCGACTTTCAAATAAATAAATAAATCTTAAAACAAAAAAAAGAACAGTTGTACAGACAGGACTGTTACGCGGCTGCACTTCCTGTGTGGCAGGAAGGTGTGTTGCTTAGAGAACAGTCACACGGGAAATGAGCAAATACGGTTGACTTAGTGTTGCTCTAATTTCACAATTTGCATCCTTGTCCTTAGAAAAGCATAATAGGGGGCCGGCGCCATGGCTCAGTAGGCTAATCCTCCGCCTTGCGGCACCAGCACACCGGGTTCTAGTCCCGGTTGGGGCGCCAGATTCTGTCCCGGTTGCCCCTCTTCCAGGCCAGCTCTCTGCTGTGGCCAGGGAGTGCAGTGGAGGATGGCCCAAGTCCTTGGGCCCTGCACCCCATGGGAGACCAGGAGAAGTACCTGGCTCCTGCCATCGGATCAGCGTGGTGCACCGGCTGCAGCGCGCCGGCCACGGCGGCCATTGGAGGGTGAACCAACGGCAAAGGAAGACCTTTCTCTCTGTCTCTCTCTCTCACTGCCCACTCTGCCTGTCAAAAATAAAAAAAAATAAAAAAAGAAAAGCATAATAGGAATAAGACAGGGTAAGCTGGTGATAGATGAAGAGCTATTGTATTTCAATGATTAAAGTATTTTTGAAAAAGTGCAGGGATGTATTTCTGTTTATTCTAGTACTTTAAGAGCTTCCTCATAGTGAAATGTACTAAGGCACCCCATAACTTTATTTCATCCTGAAATTATTTTCCTGTTGGAGATTTTTGTTTCCTTAGAGAAAATGTTTCCTCCACCTGATAGCATGACCAGGACAGCACCGTTCTGTGGCCTGGGGGCAGTTCTGGTCCCAGTTCTCCCCTCTCTGAGGGGTCTCATTGGGGCCCAGGTCTGTGTGGCTCTCTCCTCCAAGGGCCCCTCCCTTCCTGCAGGCCTGGGCTCTGCCGGGGCCCCGTGAGCTCTGCCTCCCTGACTCCTGGCCACGTCTTGCAGGAGACATGCAAGGTATTAGCTGAGTGCTCAGCAGAGTGGGGTACCTGATTCTGCCGGGAATATGGTTCAGGTTATCCAGTGTGCAACAGTGCCAGAGGCAGAGCTGGTTTCGTTGTCTGGCAGTCGGAGGAGAACTCTAGAACTGCCATCATTATGCAGGTGCCCCTTTTCCTAACTGTAATGTGGCACAGCGTATTCATGCTCTAAAGACAGTCCTGTAGAACTGTGCTTGTCTGAAAGCACGTGGGAGGTTCTGAGTACTGGCGTGGGCTCCCGCGGTGCTGGACTTCCCGTCGGTGGCCAGTGCCCGCTCACGCACCGCAGCCTTCAGCGCTGCTCTTGTTACTGCGAATCCTGATGGAGAAGCAGGGCAGAAAGTTGGAGTGAGATCACTGATGCTCCTGTCTGTAGCGAGGCTGTGTTTACTGCAGGTTTGTAGAGCGAGTGCTCTTGGGGGTTCTTGCTAATGCCCCCACGGGAGGTCTGCTGCCACTCGTCTCTTGTGCCTGGTGGGCCTGTAGCCAGTGCTGCCTGGAAGAGCCAGCGTCCCAGTGCACAGGGTGTGGCTGTGCTGGACGCTGTGGTGGGCAGCATGAGGGAGCAATGGCGCAGTGTCCTCGTACTCTTAATCCCTGGTTTATCTTCTTTTGCTGGTGTTGATGGATGTGACCTCAGGTAGAAAATCTCATTTTATGGGACAGAGACATTGTTCTGCCTGCTGTCTGTTTCTAAGAGACTACGTTCTTTCCATGTCTGTTAATGTCAAGTATTTGCTTTTCCCTTAAACTTGTTTGCGGGCAGCTGTGCGGAGCGTCATCAAGGACCAACCCCTGGTTTTCCACAGTAAGGTCCGGTCATCGGGTTACACGGCAGCACCGTGGTAAGTGCAGCAGGCTCATTGGCTGTGTCAGTGACGCACAGAGCTGGCCCTGTGCTGTAAGGCAGGGTTTAGCTGGGCACAGACTCTGTCCTGGGGGGCCATTCCATGGGGAGAGGAGGCAGAGATGTGGACAGCAGTGACGTGGTGGGCGGGCCCCACAGTGTCACTGTCAGGGCAGTGGCAGCCACTATTGAGTGCTTGCTGTATGCTGGCCTCCCTCAGCCCTGGAGTCCTTGCCAGGTGATCAGACGGTTCCTGGTGAGATGGGAAGTTGGTGGGGCCTGGATCTGGGTCTGGGTCTGGGCCTGGGTCTGGATCTGGGTCTGGGTCTGGGTCTGGGGCTGGGGTGGACAGTGGTCTGGGGTGGACAGTGGTCTGGGCCTGGGTCTGGGCCTGGGTCTGGGGAGGACAGTGTCTGGGTCTGGGTCTGGGGTGGACAGTGTCTGGGTCTGGGCCTGGATCTGGGCCTGGGTCTGGGTCTGGGCCTGGGCTGGGGTGGACAGTGTCTAGGTCTGGGCCTGGGCCTGGGGTGGACAGTGGTCTGGGGTGGACAGTGGTCTGGGCCTGGGTCTGGGGTGGACAGTGATCTGGGTCTGGGTCTGGGGTGGACAGTGGTCTGGGCCTGGGTCTGGGGTGGACAGTGATCTGGGCCTGGGTCTGGGGTGGACAGTGGTCTGGGCATGGGTCTGGGGTGGACAGTGGTGCTTGAAATCACGCAGCCCTGGAAGGCCCAGCACGCGGCCCTTTGTTAGCGCAGCCTTGAGTGAGGGGAGGGGCTCCGCACCACGGAGACAGGAAGTGGACTGGCACTTTGGCAGCAAGCCTTGCACTCCCTGGATTTGTCACGACAAATGGAGCTTCCCCGTGTGCGGTGAAGACACACATCCCTTCTCTAACCCCCAGTCCGGACACTTCCCCAGCTCTTCCTGTAGTGGCCCCGGTGCCCTGTTCCCTGGCGCCCCCGTGTGGTGGGCCCTGCATTCAGGATGCCAAGGGCCCTCGGGATCTCTGGCCTCTCCTTGGTTGGCTCTCTGACCTTTGACCTCTCCTCCACCCAGCTTGCTGCCCTGTCCACCTCTAGCTTCACTCACCTCAGGGCTCTGCTCGGAGGTCTCCAGACCTCCATCCCATGCGTAAAGCCATGGCCACCGTCATGCCTGCCAGCCCCTCCTGCCTCTCTTTCTCTTTGGCCTGACCAATGATAAGCAGGCTTTGGTGTCCTGATTATCTGTTTTACAGACTCCAGAGCCTCCCATGAGACGCTTATAGAGGGAGGGAGAGGAAAGAGGATGGGTGGATGGAGAGAGCAGAATGACGGTGGAGAGATGAATCGGTGGAGGGTGGATGGGTGGAGGACTGGAGAGGAGGGAGACGGATGGAGAAGTGGAGTGGTTGAGGGAGATGCCTGGATCCGAGGCTGGTGAGATGGAGGGTGGATGGAGGGTGTGGAGGAGCAGTGCGGGTGGAGAGTGCAGGGGCAGATGGCTGGAGGACGGCGGGCTCTGGACCTGGGCCTCAGGGGAACGGCACCTCCACGTCCCAAGCCCGTGGAGCCGCGCAGCAGCCGCGGCCCTGTGCCGCTGAGTGTGTGCTCTCAGGGCGCTCTGCTGAGCTGTGTTCTGAGTGGAGGGCTGGGGGGGGCAGGAGGGTAAGGGAGTCTCAATACTGTGGATGGCCCTGAGCTCCACCTGGGGTCCCCACGTTAGGAAAGACAGGGGTTTTCCAGGGTCTTAAGCAGTGCCACAAGGGACCGGCAGAGGGTGGGGGCTCGGGCTGCAGGGCGGGGAGCCTGCTGGGAGCTTCGGGACTCAGTCTGCAGGAGTTTCTCTGGGAAACGTGGGTGTGTTGAGGAAACTAAAGCTCGGATTCCTATTTGAGTCTTCTTCCCACAGTGTAAATATGTTCGCACCAAAGACCAACAACAGGAAAGATGGGAAAAGAGCTTCAAAGTGCAGGAGCAGTTATAGATGGTACGTGGCCCGTGTGCTTGTGTGAGTCGGCTTGAAATAGCGCACAGGAGGCCCTGTGAACACTTCAGCGGGTGGCTTCCCACACAGTACAAGACCTTAACGGTGTGCGGATGCCAGTGTGTGTGTGTGTGTGTGTGTGTGTGTGTGTGTGATTATTACTCAGATTTGTCTCATGTTAATAACTTTCACTCATGCTGGAAATGTTTATCTTTGTTGAACATTGATTGTAGAGAATGAGGTAGCCCAGGACACTCGTCAGTCAGTGTCTCCCAGGGAGTGCTGTAGCCCAGGACACTCGTCAGTCAGTGTCTCCCAGGGAGTGCTGTAGCCCAGGACCCTCGTCAGCCAGTGTCTCCCAGGGAGTGCTGTAGCCCAGGACCCTCGTCAGCCAGTGTCTCCCAGGGAGTGCTGTAGCCCAGGACCCTCGTCAGCCAGTGTCTCCCAGGGAGTGCTGTAGCCCAGGACCCTCGTCAGTCAGTGTCTCCCAGGGAGTGCTGTAGCCCAGGACCCTCGTCAGCCAGTGTCTCCCAGGGAGTGCTGTAGCCCAGGACACTCGTCAGCCAGTGTCTCCCAGGGAGTGCTGTAGCCCAGGACACTCGTCAGCCAGTGTCTCCCAGGGAGTGCTGTAGCCCAGGACACTCGTCAGCCAGTGTCTCCCAGGGAGTGCTGTAGCCCAGGACACTCGTCAGCCAGTGTCTCCCAGGGAGT